ATTCAGTTCGATTGAGCTCAATAAGAAGGTGGTGCGCTACTGGTTAAACGGTAAAATGTACCCATATAGTTAGTTAGTAACACTTTTTACGTGTTTTTTATGAAATGTGTTAATTGCAATGTCCATTTAAGAGCAAATGACAAAAATTAAATAGGTAATCTGAAAATTGACATAATCCAAAAAAATTCGCATCCATCCAAAATAATAGTACATATTTACAATCCTTACGATATTTGCTGAGTTAGAATTCCAAGAAGACCCCTGCGTCACTTTCTTGGAATTAACCGCATTCGACACCCGAGTCAGAAAGACATTGGCGGCGTGGCGTTCAACGTAGCAGCTTGCAGTGCGTACTGTGTTTTGCAGTTACGAAAGCATGTTTCTTCGTAAGTGTATCGTGCATTATCAGTGTAATATCTTATTAAAATAAATCAATGGAGGTGAAAAATAAGAGAAAGTAATGTAATTCCCAGTCGAAGAGTATCGTGTTTAACGTGTATCTATTATATTGTACCAGTGTATTTATAACTATATTATCTTCTACTGTAAAAGAAATAAAAACACATCTAAAAAATTTACTTTATATGGGTATATTTAGGTACTAATAACGTGCAAAATTTCAAGGCACACCCCTGCCGCCGTAAATTGTTACAATAATTCCGATAGCAGAACTTTATTGGCTTATCATTTTCTTGGAATTTTATCTCGACAAATGTTGTACGGACTGTAGTTGTATTGTTAGGTTTAAATTACAAATGGTTTCTAGAACTATCAAAATTATTTTAGTGTAAGAACAGACATGTAAAGTGCGCGAAATGAAAGAAAACCTAGTGGAAACAATTGCGGTTAAAACAGCACACGTAAGTTGCTTTACAATCAGTTGGCAGGTTCGTAGATGGAAGATTCCAGTGGATGAAATAGACTCGAGAGTGCAGCGATCATACAATTCATTCAAATACCTACATTACAGACATAATCTAAACATTTTGGAAAGGTCTGACCACTGAAATGAGAATTGAAAACTGCAAAATAATATAAAATTATCGTTTTGCGTCAATATTTATGTATTTAATTTTGGAACTCGTATTACCTATAATCATGTTTCTTATTTATTGGCGGTTTTCCTAGAATAATTTGTTAATTTAATTAATTAATTAATTACATTAAAAAGATTTAGACATCAGCATGATAATAGACTTTTTCATTGTTGATGGCAATCTTAAGGTTCTTCAACGATGATACTAATTTTAATGAGTATATAAGGCATAAATCAATGTCATAAATAATTTGCTTATTTGTTGGTGTTGGTATCAAAATACTTTTGGTTCTGAAACGATAATTTTAATGCAAAATTTCTTCATTAATATTCAACATATTTAATGTGATACAATTTTGAAGTAAAGTTAAAACGATTATGGCTTGAGAGATATGCAGTTAATTATGAAGTTCAGGATGTTGTAATTTTATAGGTCATTCTCTCATTAAAAGTCAAAACCGTAGGACCTTAATATACTACCATTTCAATATAGGATTTGTTTGATCATTCTGTTTTATTTTACATAATCGTCTTAAATTAGATACATTAAAAATTTTTTTGATGGCCGACAGAAATTATTTTTTTCAAAAAAAATCTATTTGGAACTACGAATTCTTTAACCTTGAATTACTTCGTTGCGCGAGACTCTACTTTATCCTTTATCTTTTTTAATTCCTTATTCTTTTTTCCGTATCTGTAATTGTTGGGATAGCAGATATTTTTCGAAATATGACTTAAAGTATTCTTTTTTATGTAGTATGTTGGCTAGCTGTCTATCAGGAAACGTAAAAAATAATGAAAATAACTAAAAAAAGTCTTTGTTAGGTACTCTCTATCTCAAAAACAAACTGTTTGTAGACGTACATTCGTACGAACATTTTTCTTATTTCTGGTAAGGGAATCATTTCTACATTTTGTGGGTTATTGCAGCATCCTGTATAGAAGATATCCAGTTATTGAGTAGGTACTTTTAAACGCACTTTGTTGCATTCTATTTTATTCAACAGTCCTTCCCAAAACGCTACTTTTGATATGGATAAATCATTTAAGGAACGCTATTTTATAGATGATACCAATGCGGTTGGTATTCATTATTATTAGAATCTTAAAGAAAGTAATATAGATTTCAAATATGTATTTATTAGTTCGTAATTAAAAATGATTGAGAATGAAAAAGTTGTACCTAATAGTAAGTTGAAGCCTTCGTTAAAAGTTAAGAGGCAGGGTCTTTCAAAACCGCTCCTGTTCTGCCTGTGTACATATATTTATGGTTCTTCGGATGGGGAGACAAACACTTACTACAACAAATGCTTTTATTGGGATACTTCCCTTTGGTTGCAAGGAGCAAAAATAACCGCGCCTACAAGTACTTAGTTCCTTGCGTAACTTTTTTCCTATTGTCAATGTGGTCATTTGATGAGATAGCTTGATTATTTGAATCAAGTAACTTTTATGGTATCTGCAAATATTCTATTGTCAGATAGTTGACAGTTTTTAATTATTCTGAGTATTATTGCCTTTACTTTATTTTGTGCAAATTTTTTTATTTACTCAATAAGCAAGATTACACTAACATCGAAATGACCGATATGCATTTCGTTTACGGTCTTGCCAATGGCAACTCTTTAGCATCTTGAATTTACGCTGAAATGTATCCTCGTCCTTTTCACACCTTGTTTGCGCGTCTTCAAGAACACTTTAGTGGAATTTGAACTTACAGGAAAAGATCTTATGATTGTGGTCTCCATCGCAAAATTAGTAGGTACTGCTTTTGATTGATGAAGAACCGGACGCCAGCACTACAAAAATTGTTTTGGAGTCTAAATATCAACAATCTTATTTTTTTTTCACAACGTTTTTCACATTGAATTTTGGAAAACACTGGCAAAGATCATGTTTACAGACTAAGCCAAATTTTAACAAGAATCGATAATTAACTATCACACTTATTTCTGAAAGAAAATTATGCCATAGAAGAAGTTCATCATCAACAGTTTTGTCTGAATGTGTGGATTAGAACTTTTGGAGACCACAATTTCTGCCACTTAAACTGAATGGAGATATATATATTCATTTTCTAGAAAAAGTACTTCCAATATTTCTTGAAGATGCACCTCGAAGCTCAGCTTTGAATATGCATAATGGGTCTTCTGTCTTTTTGTTATTGAAACACAACATTGTTTAAATCAGGCATATTCAAATCGTTAATATATTAGGTAGTGGCGGACTTCAGTTTTGGCCTCCTCAAACACCCGATTTACATCCTATAGATTTTGTTTATATATAGTGTCATTTAATGCAACGCCGCCTGTGTAAAATATTTGAAAATTGAGAAACCGCATTATTGATTCATGTGAGGTAATTCATTATTCTTCAGGAATTTTTAACCAGATGCGTGCATCAATGAATGCTTCGAGGCACGGAATCTTATGTAAGCAATAGGGGCAGGTGGTCATTTACAACATTTATTATATTTTATGTTTTCCGTTTATAATTTAGGTTTCATTCAGTTTACTGTCATTCGTTTTAATATATTTATATTCTCATAAACGGTCTGTACACCAAAGAAATAGAGATTAAACTTTAATACAATCTTTATTCAAAAATTTTATAGGTTGATTTAAAACTTGCAACTTGTAACTTAAATTGTGAATATCTTCCTTAACAAAAATTTATTAATTTTGTTATCTTTTCTAATATAATACAATTAAATACAATACAAGGATTGTTTTTAATTTAAGAAAAAATTACTTTATTAGCAATTAATTTAAACTATTTAATTTTGAATACTTCTCTTTGTATTGCATTCTGCCTATCGTACAGGGGCATAATTTCTTATTTACTGACAGAAAATTCAACTCTAATTAAACATGGCTGTCCCTATTGATAAATTGGTTCGAGCTCGTGGACTTTGTGAAGTTTTTAAACATATTATTGATTGGCTTGTATTTATTTTTATTCAGGTAAGTTCTATTGTTTATTATGCATCCTTCTTCTTAGGTTTGATGCGATAGAAAAGTATTATTTATAGGTTATAGCTATCTGTTTTGTTTATAGTGCACTTTATTTTTATTTTAGGTGAGTGGTATTTGTTAACTTGAAATTTTCCTTGTTGGAAACTACGTAGATGTTCTGCATACCATTTATGGGGCCACTGGAAACCTCTATAGATTGCTTACAACTGGTAACAGAAATTTTTTTTTGATGGCAAATTTCTTTCTTGTGGTTTTGAGAACAAACAAACTTTTAACTTTTCTGTTAAGTTTAATTTTCTTACTTGACTATTTCATTCTTGTTCAAATTTAAATTTATTGGAGCTGCCACTCTACTCTGCATTCTCCAAAAACCCAAGCCGTAACCAATCAATAAACTTTTATTTTTCATCCTTTCTAGATTATTCTGGTCCTATTTTTGCTTAATCTATAGATTTTAAGCTTTTATTTGATATACGTCACTCTAGGTTTAAATTCTGTTTTCTCAATGTATTGAGTGTTAACAAGCGTCGATGTTATGCATTCTATAAAAATTTTATTTTGTACTTGTGAATTAAATTAAAATTATTATTTTTATACTATGTGATATCCTTAATTGTTACTAGTTTTATATTCAGATTATTTATATTAACAATTTTATACTATTTTGTTGTTGTTATAATAATAGTTAGTTTTTATATATACGATCCAAAGTTTGGTCAGGTAATGTTTCATTCGTGATTCTTTGTGTGCATTTCCAATTCGTTACAATATCCTGTACCCATAATTTCGCACATCAATGGAAATAAGCACTAGCACTAAGTATATTTTATATTTAGAAAGCATTAATCTATTTCTTATAAATGGAGTAAGTTATAAAGGAATTTTCTACAACTATCTATCCACAGATTGATTTTTTTCTAAATATCCTATAAGGATGAATTCAAAATTCAAATATCAGTAATAATGATAATTTCAATAAAAACGCTTACCTGCGAGTCTGTCTTTAACAACCTGCGACGCAAATGCCGCCGCCGCCGCTGATCTTTGCAAGACGGGGTCCAGCCCCAGCGACCAAGGACTGAACATGGCCCCCGGGGGACTTCCGGGGCCACCTAGGGGCCTGTGCGCCGGCACTCGCAGAACACCCTGTCCGTAGAACCCCGACGGCACCAACCCCAGCGTACTCCTCTGCTGGAAGATGCCCGCCGGACTTTGGTAGAGGCTCCCGTTATCACTTTCGGGCTTCTGCTCGAAATTCTTACCCAATAGATTGGAAATACTGAACGGTAGCGTGGTGTTGGTGGAACTGTGCGGGGTGGTGGAGTTCTCGGGGCTGCTACAGTGACTTCTGGAACTCCTGGCTTCGCTGTCACTGTGCGACAATCTAGAGTCAGTGTCCAATACGTTTATTTCGTGATCGTCCTCAGTTAGCTCGTGATCGGACATTGTTTTAATTCCAAAACAACTTCACACTAATTAAAACATGTCGAAAAAACAAACACTATCACACGGTTAATTAAGACCAACTTTCAATTAGTTGGCGCTGACTCAGCAACGTCAGTCTATTGTTCCCTACGCGGACAATTGACGAACGGGGAACAATCAGTGGTCGAATCGGCTAACTCGAACGAGTGTCAGTTGAGTACTGCCGCCAACTAAACGGTTGCCATGGCATCAGCAACGTAGTTAACAGACGCCCAATCATTGGCCAGATTGCTTATTGTGGCCCCACCCAGCGTATTTCCCATTGGGTTAAACTGATTCGGGCTAAATTGAATATCTTTCTGTTAATTTTTTTGGAGATCAAGTAAGCGGTTTGCCGGGATCGTTCGCTGTGTCTTGCCCTTAATCCTGGATATTAAATGCCAAGCTATTACTTGCGGAATATTAAGGTTTCCCGATTACTAGGGACATTCATACGTATGCAGTACATCATTAAATCGCTTTTAAGCTATTTTTGCAAAGATAACATAATTAAAAGTTGAAGGTATTAATTAGAGGCTATAAAATTGATCCTTGAGGAACACTAACATAAAAACATGCTCAAAAAATCGCATAAATTATGTAAACTATGTGTAAATATGTGTAGAACACAAAATATTGAAGTCCAAGGCAAATTAGAATATTGATTTCGAATTTTGAATTGCAAATGTCTTTATGATCTATAAGAAAACTTGGGAAAACGTTAAATACTCTATCGACGTCGTGTGTTTTAAATATTTTTTCTTTTTCCGAAGAACTTGAACTTAAATGCTGCAAAAATGGGTTTGTATTTATTTTGTTGAAAATATTAGACTTGTCGATTATTCCATGAACATTATCAAGCAATGCTATATCAGATTAAAATGATTATGCAAATAAAAATCGGTTAAATTATAAAATCAAATAGTAACTGTAGACCATGCCTGGATTTTTTAACATGTCCCATGTTGCAAAAAATTCAGAACAATAAACAATTTGCTTTCAATAATATACCTAATTTAAATTTGCTAAATGCAATATTTATTGTTCAAATATCATTTCCTGACATTTGTTTATCATTTAGTAGATCTTCATCATCTTCAGTAGGTATATTTAGGTGATAAACTTGTATTTTGGGAATAAGTATCTATATATTGGTTAAATTTACGTAATCGAATGTTGTTCACCAAGCCACATCAAAGTTGGCCATGTTCCAGCGATCACTTGGTTATGATTCCGTGAAATTACTTAGGTATGATAAAAATAAAAAAATCGTAAATAAAATGAAGAAGAGAAAAAATTCATTTCAAATATTTATTTATAAAATATAGAAAAACGTCGGTACCTACTGAAAAAAATCGAGTGGTGCAATTAAAACAATAAATTCTAGTATCATAGAAATATGTGTACGTGATTAACATACCTCTATGTACATGAATATATGAAGCTCCCACAATGTACTTCAAAATAAATTCTGAAACTGGCAATTTTGAATTTATTTTCTTTTTTCTGAAGAAGAGAGCGATATCTCTCTCGAAACGTTAAGAAACCTAAACCGACGACGTCAACGTGGTAACCAGTCCAGAAAATGTTCAGCCATTGATAACTGCCATTTCATTTTGCAATGACTTTTTGTCAGTAACGTTATATACATATATGGGTAGCCCTATTATTTTTTAGCTTAAGGTTAGGTTAAATTCGCTTTTGTAACACGTAATTTTTTTAATATCTTACAGCAAACACCTTTATTATTATTAAGAACGTATCTTAGAACGTATAGGTATGGTTATACTCAGAAATACTTCTAATAGAAACACTTCTAATAGTTTTTATCTTGAATACAAATTTTTCCAAACACAAAATAGTTAGGTAACGATATCCATTGTTTCCAAATAGGTATCATTCTTTCTATCCAGATTCGCGCGGGCAAGACACGACGAACGCCATCTCCAGTTGTAAAAGCAAGTCAAGTGTTTTGTTTCAAGAATTAATTGTCATTTTTTATTCGTGAGCCTCTTTGCTTTTGTTTCTCGTCGGAGCCATTTTGATTTTCCTAGAATCGCTGTCCAATTATGCCCGCTCAACTGTTTAATAAATGAATTACTCTTTTATAATGCAATTAACTTTAAATTTGCCCCTCTGAATTATTTAGCGGGTAATTTTAGTGGTTCTACCTCTTCGACTTCGCCGATTAGGCGACGGGGCTCTTCTTTTAATTGCTATTAAAGAAGATGCGCTTTATATAACGCTAAGTACTTATCTAGGTAGGTACACCTATTTTATAAACTCATCTAAAAATTGGGTAAGCTTTTGTAACAACCTCATGGTCGATAACATTGATGTAATATATCATTAGCTAGGTAAGTAAGTCCATCCAAGAGATCTGGTTTCATTTTTCAAATATGCGCATATGAAATTATACTGGAAAAGAAGAAAAATGAAACAGCTCTTTATTCGAAAGAAAGAGAATTTTAACGCAAAAAGTATGGCAAGAGAAATGACATATCAGAAGACAAGAAGAAACATCGAAAAGAAATCGAAGACATATAGAAGACACATCGAAACATTGGACTTGGTTAAAAAGATAAAAAAAAAGGGAGAAGATTAGAAAGAAGAACAGGGAAAATGAAGAAAGAAAAACATAGACAAGGAACAATAATAGGGAACTACTTATACAGCAAAAGGAGAAGAGGAACACAAGCAAGCGTATTATTTGAAATGAAGAGCATATAAAAAAAAAGAATAATTGGAAGAGAAATGATACATCAGAGGATAAGAAGAAACATAAAAGATAAAACTGATGAACAAGATGAAAAAATAACTTTTGGCGGAACATTGTAAACAGGAACATCGAGAGAAAAAGAAGAAGGAAAAAATAAAGATATGAATACCTACTAAAAGTCGAATGGACATAAAGGAAGAAAAATAATAACTTCTCAAATGGATTAAAAGGGCGAAAAAAAGAACAAAAGACGTTCCATAATATCAAGGTGCCTATCTAGGTACCTTCTTGCATGATAGAATAGCAGAAGATGAAGAAATAAAGCAGACAGTTCTTTCAGATGCCGTTTGTTGTCCAAATTGTTTTGGAAACATTACTTCATTTGAAATTATGGAAAAGACTGACCTTTGAAGATGTTTGAAGTGAATATCTTCTCAAGTACATAGAACCTTGGATTAAGAAAACAGTTTTTAAGTTAAAGTGTATTTATTTAATTGAAGACATGTCACTTTGTCCAAAGTTTTGTTATGCTCATTTTGAGAGTAGAATTTTTTTCATAAAATAGCTTCGGCAATCACCTCCTAAATTACGTCGCTCTTATTTACAAACATCATGTATACAGGGTGTGCCATATAACATTCCCGCTGCTAATATCTCCGAAATGAAGAAATTTATTTTAGTTCTGGAAACTGGGGTCGTTAGGTCGCTCGAATAGCTTCAAATTGCAGTTAGAATTGTCTGTTCAAATATTTGTATAGATGGCGTGGTGATACTAAAAATTTTTTTGATTTCTGAAACGTGAAAATGCGGTCCATCTGAAAATTCGTTAAATTTTGAGCAATTTTTGTAATATAAAGTTTGTATCAATATTTACTTGTTTTCGAGATATGTCGACTTCAATATGCAATGTATGTTGTAACAAGAAAATCTATTATTTTGTTTAAATCACACTGAGACAAAATATTCTTTTAAAATATTGTTGTAATCACTTTATTCTCACTACATACTAACTAACAAGCAATAAATTATAAAAAAAACAAGTGGTTTATGGTTTCAACAGGATGGAGCGCCACCCTCTCCCAAAATAATAATGCTGTGCAAGAATTCTTAAATCAGAGGTTTCCGGGAAAGTAGTAAGGTACTAACGGAGTTATAAGGTGGCCGGCTCGTTCACCAAATTTGACCCCATTGGATTTTTTTCTATGAGGTCATTTAAAAAACACTGTAGGTAGGATCAGGACCCTATGGAAGACATGACTGATTTGTATAATAAAATTTATGCAGTTACGGCGCTTTAGATCGTGACACTTTATTAAGAGCCTGTAATGTCAAACTAACGAGAATACTAACATTGTATATTAATGTTGAAGTCGTAATTTTGAACATTTATTATAATCTTTGTTTTCACTTACTTCAGTAACAACATCATTATTTTAAATACTTTCTGTTACTTTTTCTGTAGTTGATCATTTGTTTTTTATAATTTATTTGTTAGTTAGTATTACTTAAAATTACTTAAAATTTAACGATCTTTCAAAGGACTGAATTTCCACGTTCCAGGAACCAAAAAAATTTTCTTGTCACCGCGCCATCTATACAGAAAGATTACTAACAATTCTAACCGCAATTTGAAGCAATTCGAGGGATCTAACAACCTCAGTTTCCGGAAGTAAAACAAATTTCTTCATTTCAGAGATATTGGCAGTAGGAGTGTTAAATGGCACACCCTGTATATATTTATTTATTGACAGGTATGTAATTATTAATGTAATGAAATATTTAGTATGGGACATATGTTTTTTTAATAGTTACGTATTTTTTTTAGAAATTAACTTTGTTATATTTTATTCGAAATCAGATTTTCACGTAATTGTAATCCATCAATAATAAATAACCCGTTTTCCCAGTGTACCTTTTATACAACCTATTAAAAATAATGCACGAAATAAAAAATTTGTACGTAGTTGATGAGTCCTGAATATTCCAACAGCTATTATATCCCACGATGACCATTTATGTATACGTTATTAAAAAACAATAACCCCTTTTATCCGCATGATATAGTCGATCAATATTTTAAACCGTCCCGCGGTGCCGTTCGTATTTCTGACTGACAGCCGCGTAATATCTACACTCCTCCGGCTAAATGGAACTTCAAAACGCCTGAAATATTAACAAAACCTTAATTGACGGACAAATAAAAATGTCGATTTATTCGCGCGCGTCCGGGGGCCTTTATTAAAAATCATATTCCGGGAGAATGTGATCCCTATTCCGGGTGCCGGAGGGACCCGGAGCGGCGGGGCTTAACTGCTTTAACTTCGCGCCGGCATTTGTATAAAATGCGGTCCATCAATTATTAAGGCGCAGTACAGCGCGTTAAACGCTATACTGTCTGAAATGAAATATTTTTCAGTGCCCTGTTGCTATTGATTGGCA